TCCCCGTGCCGCTGGTGGCCGCGGTGCCGACGCCCGCGTCCTTGATCGTCGCCACAAGGCTCTCGGAAACAGAGCGTCCGGATGCGCCGGCAAGGGGGTTGGCGTCCGAGGACAAAGCCGCGCCTTTGGCAGACAGCGGCTTGTAGGTGAACGTGGCCGTTGGCTTGTCCTCGACCTTACCGTCAGTGGCGGCATCCTTGCTGCGGGGCACGACGAATCCCTTGGTGACGACGCTGGCTGGCAACGCGCCTGGGGTCTTGGCCTCGGCGGACGTTGCCTTGGAGGGCACTGGCTTGACGATCGAGGCCGAAGGGCCGGAAGGATCCGCAGCGGCGGCGTTGGGCGAAACCTCGGCATCGGCGTTGTCCTCGATCGTCTCGAGCTTCGAGAGCTGCTCGTAGGCGCTGCGCCGGATCGCCTTCCGCAGCGACGGCACCAGCATCTTTTCGTTGTAGGGCAGGCTGGTCTTGGGCTCGCGGTCGAAGCCCGACTTGCTGTCATAGAAGGAGCCGTAGCCGTAGCCCGCGCCCGGGCTGCGCCGGGACATGCTGATCGAAATAGCAGAGGCCGACGCGCCGCTCCCGCTTGCGGAAGAAGGATCGGCGCCAGACGGTGAGGCGATCCCAGCCCTGGGTGCGCCCAGCGCAGGGCCACGCATCGGCCGTCCTCCGACCGCACCGCCAGCAGCGAGGAACCGGGCGGGAGGGGCCACGTTCATGGGAACGGAGCGGCCAAGACCAGCGTCGCCATCGTCTGGCTGGCTCGACTCGGACTCGCGGATCTTGCGCTGCCACGCCGCCCACTTCTGGTCGTCCTCCTCGTCCAGCTGGTACTTGGACTTGCCTCCCTTCTGCGACTTCGACGTCTTGGGCGACCACAGACTGCGGTGCGAGGGCGCATTGGGCGCCACGCTGAGCCGGATCTCGGTATCTGCGTCCTCCTTGGCCTTTTTGGCCGAGACGCTTCCGGTGCTGCCGCCGCCGACTGCGCGCGACTTTGAGCCGGAACGCCCGACGACGTTGCCCGTCGTCGATGGCGAGCCGCTTGAAGGCTGGACCGAGTCGCTGTCAGCCACCATGCTCCGCCTGCCGCGCGAAATACTAGAGGGTCGGAAGGAGCCGCTGTAGCCGCGGTAGCCGTGGACCGAGGCTGATCCGACGACAAATGGCTCCGAGCCTCCGTCGTTGAAGCCCGCAGCCGTCTCGGGGACGACGCGGCCGTCGAGCCTGAGAGAAGCGGGATCGAAGCCGGAGTCATCGGCGTGCGCGAGGCTGGTGGCCAGATCCGACATGGCAGATTCCCTCGCAGCGAGCGCCGAGAACGAAGCAGCTCCGAAGCCCGGCATGTCGTCGACCGAGGCGCTGTCGTCGCGAACCGTGGTCTCGCGGTCGACTTCGTCGTCCCCTTCGGCATCGTCATCGTCATCCAGGGGAAAGTCGTCGCCCTGACCGCGCACGCGCCCGCTTACACCTCGACGGACGCCGGGCGGCGAGCCGTCCACGGGACGCGGCGCTTCAGTGTCCTCTTCCTCGACTGCGTCTGCCTCGTCGTCTTCTGCTTCGTTGTCATCGCCGTTTGCCTGGCTCTCCTCATCAATCTCGAAGACGGCCGCTGCGTGCCGGTTCGATTGTGGACGTAGTTGGAAGGGATGGAGGCACGAGCAGATGGTCAGCACAGCCGTTGACGGTCGACACGTGGCGTCGGAATACCACCCAACAACCCATTGACTCACCGTCCGTCTCATCCACCAGCTCTCGGCTTCCGTTGGCCACGTCGTCGTCGTCGTCGTCCGCGTCATCCTCGTCGTCTTCGGAGAGCACATCGTTGTCGACGGTGTCCTCGGCCTCTGCGAATGCAACCTTTTTCTCTGCCGGCCGGTGAGGCTTAGACTCGTTGGCGGTCGAGCCGGTGGCGTCGGCGGAAGGATTGTCGGTGGCCGACCCGTCGGCGGCGGTGGCAGAAGCACCCAGGACCGCTTTCGCCCGCGAGGCAGGCCCGTTGCCCGCCCTCGTCGCAGGCTTGAGCGGCTCCGTGTTTGACGGAGGGGGGTTCCTCGGCCGCAGCGTGACCTCGGCCGAAGGCTCGGGCGCAGACTGCGGAGAGACCAGCCTGCCGCCGACCTGGGGCGTGTCGGCGTCGGCCGTCTTGCCATCGTCGACGAGGACCGAGGCGGGTGCCTTGGACTTGTATGACGATGCCATGCCCGGCGGCGCCAGCTGCGAGGGGCCGGGTGCGCGCCCTTGTCGGCCCCGTGACGATGTCTCTGCCGGCGCTGTTGCCGGAGCATTTGCAGGCAGACCGCGCGGCGGCGGCGATGAGGCCAATTCGCCGGCCTGTAGTGGCGGTCGGCTCGGTCGGCTGCCCGTCTCGGACTCTCTCGCCAATGCGGCCACGCCTCGGCCCCTGCCGCGATCGGCCATCTCCGCCTCGTCCTCGGTGTTGACGCTCTCGTGGCTGGTCTCGCGCATCCTCTGACTGCGGTCGGAGCGCAGCGTCGCTTCGCCGCGTCGCGCGAGGGCGTTGTCGCTTTCGTCGTCCGAGTTGTTGTTGGAGTCGACGGTCGAGTTGGCGGTCGAGTTGACGGCCGACGTCATGGCCGAATGGTCACCCTCTGGATACCGCTCACGCAGCCTCCTCTTGCTGGCCCAGTCCTCGAGCTGCGGCGGGGGGTCGCGGCCGCGCATGGCAAACGAGGCGCTGAGGGCAGACAGCGATGTCGACATCGAAGCCGGCCTGCCTGCGGAGGACGTGCCCGCGCCATGCGCCGGCGTCGACCTTCGCTCGAATGCGGACGGTGGCAGGTCGAGGTCGTGGTCATGCTCGTGGTCACCAAGGTCCGGGTAGCCGTGGTGGGGCTGCGGCTGCGACGAGGAGCCGGAAGAGGACAGCGCCCCTGTCGCAGACGATGCGCCGGCTCCGACAAAATCGCGCGAACGGACTGCCTCCGGCGCTGCAACCGAGCTGCCGCGTCCGCGCCCCCTTTCGACGCCATTCAGGTTGCCCTTGCCGAGCGCCACCGACATGAGCGAGCCTGCGCCTCCGCCAGCCTGCAAGGAAGCCGCAGGCTTGCGTGCACGCGTCGCCTCGAGCAGCGCCTCGGCCTCGTCCCTAGTCCGCTTCTCGAGGGCCTCCATCTCGCGCCGCTTCTGGCGGACCAGCTCAAAGACCTCGGCCTCGGCCTTGGAGCGGAACTCGCGGAGGCGCTCGACGGCGGCCGAATCGAGCATCGAGGCGAGCGGGTGGCCGAGGCTGCTCCCAGCCAGCAGCGACATGGACGACGAAGCTGGAACACCGTTGCTCGTGCTGGCGGCGCCGGCCCCCGCTGATCCAGACGTGGCCCTGGGGGACTGGGGTGGCGAGGTGATGAGGTGTGCGGGCACGGCGGGCAAGGTGTAGGACATGGCGGCGCTGGGCAGTGGTCCGACCGACGGCCTGCGGTTGCCGCCGATCGAGGGTCGGCCGGGGTTGGACATGTCTGCCACCGGGACGGGCTCGGCGGTCTCTGCCTGGCTGGACGACGGAGTGGAGGCGTCGCGCTGGACGAGGATGCGGAAGGCAGGCGAGAAGAGGGTGCTCTTGTGCGCCTCTTGAGCCTCTTGGGGGGTGAGTGCATCGGGCAAGAGCACGACCTGGCCGTCTAGTGGGCGGACAAAGGGTTCGTAGGGGCGGGCGTCTCGGGAGGCGGCACGGACGCTGCTGCTGCTGCCTGTCGGGACGAGGCCAGACGGCTCGCGGCTGGGTGACTCGGGGGGAGGAGGCGCAGTGCTCGTGGTGGCGGTGGCGGCCGAGGCGGACGAGGAGGAAGCCGGGAGGAAACCATATGTCCTTGCGGGTCCAGGAGGAGCGGGCTTGGCGGCGCCGTAGACGAGGGTGGAGCAGTTGAGGCAGCGGGTGCAGGTGAGCGTGAGGCCAGTGTCGGGCAGCGATACGTTTTCGCGGGCGATGAGGTAGGGAAAGGTCTGCAAGACGGAGCGTTGAAAGGGAGGCGGAGGTGGGAATGTGAGAGCGGGTGAGCGTGCGTGTATGCGGGGATATAGGCCTGGAGATGGACCTAGGTTTCGCTGCCGCTGCAGCTGCCACGGCGGATGGCGAGTGGCAGAAGGGACAAGCGATGGCGGTGCAGACTACTCACTACGCGTACGCTGTCGCTGTCGGCGAGCTGTGCGGGTTTGAAGTGGTTGTCGGTGGTTTGGACGGGGTGGTCGTCGGTGAGACGGAGGCGGACGTTGAGGCACCTGCAGGACCACTCGTGGAGCGGGTATTCGTTGGCGGTTGCGGTCGATGCATTGGAGGGTGTGGTTGTGCGGGTTGTTGCGGCGGTGGTGTGCTGTGGTGTGGCCGGTGGTGCGGAAAAGGGATCGGCGGCGGTGGTGGTGGTGTCGGAGGGCGGCATGGTAGGCGCGGGGCGGTAGCCGCCAGAAGGAAAGGCGGGCGATGGGCAGGGGCGTCGGATGCTGTTGCGCTATTGGACGAGGTCTGCGCCAAGTAGGTGTGCGTGAAGGCCGGAGTGGACGTGACAGAGACGCCTGGCTGAGCGCTTGGCGTGTATGGGCCCTTGAATGCGGCGGGGGGGGGTCAAGGTGATGGGTTGCCGCCCGACGTCGCTCTTGGTCCGGCGCGGATGCAGAGAAGCGGCGTGGTGGGTGTACGAGGAACGCCGCGCGATGCGATGATGGACGACGCGGGCGACGGCGTGATGGCGGTGGTGGTGGGTGGTGGTGATGGTGGTGGTGGTGGGTGGTGGGAGTGCAAAGTGGCCCGAAGAAAGCGTGACGACAGGCGGGGGCTGCGCCCGACGCCCTGGGTCCTGGGCCTGCTGGCCAAACGGGAAAAAAAGCGAGGCCGGCAGAGATAGACAGGGCCTGGCTCGAGCGAGCGAGCGGGCGGGCGAGGAACCCTGACTCGAGCCTGAGCCCTGAGCCCTGAGCCCTGAGGCCTGGCTGGTTGGCCTGGCTTGGCTGCTTGGCTGCCCGGCTGCCCGCCTGCCAGACGAACCCTAGCCTGCCTTTCCGCGCGGCTGACTGGCAGGGCGCTGTCGAGGCCTGGCCTGGCTGCACCTTCGGCTCACCTCTCATCCCTGTCACTCTGGCTCCTCGCCTGGCCAACACCGCCACCACTACTACTACTACCACCACCACCAACCAGATCACACCCAGCTCACCGCTGCGCCGCCGTCGTCGAAACTACCCTCACGCCCGCTCCCACAACAGCCAGCCGCCCACCATGCAAATCAAGGGTACCTACGACGTCGTCCTCGTCCCTCTCGTCCTCCCCACCGCCTACCTCGTCCAGACCTTGCCCCCCTCGATCCGCTCCATCCAACCCTCGCCCTTTATCCCCTTTACAAGTCAGCAAATCGCCGCCCTCGGCATCGACGCCACCGACTTTGACCCCGACACACACCACCCCGTCATGCTCGAGCTGGGCTACCAGCACTCGACCGGCCCACCGCCCTTTGGCCTCAACTTCCAAGAGGCCAAGCTCGAGATCCTCGGCATGCGCCACCCGCACGCCCCCTCGGCATCCCGCCAGGGCTACGTCTTCAAGCAGCACATCCTGTTTGACTCGTTTGTGCTCAACCTCTCGTCCAACTGGCTAGCCGGCCTCCGCTCCGCCCGCACCACCTTCTCTCCCAAACAGTCGCCCGCATCCTACCCCGCATCGCACCAGGGCACGCTGCACTACAATGTCGAAAACTTTGTCGAGGCCACGTTTGAACGCACCACCGACGACACGCAGGAGACGGCGGCCGCCGCTGAGCTCATCCGGTGGGCGGGCAGGCCATGGTACGGCGCAAGGACGCCCAGAGCCACCTTGACCCAAGTGAGTCCACCCGATGCCTTGCCCCGGTCGTTTTAATCATGCGCTGTTGGCGTATGCTGACCTATCATCGTCGATTCGCTCCCCGCTAGTTCAACTTTGATCTGTCGACGCAGGCGTTTGAGCCGGTGGGCTACGAGGGCGTGGTGAGGATGCGGCCCGAGGCGTTTCTGGACGCGTCGGCATCGTCGCAGGGCGTCGAGGGGCTGTCTGGTGCGGAATGGATCGAGATGGACAAGGTGCGGGCATGGCGCTTCAAGGCAAGCTTTGCCAGCGAGGACTCGAAGGTGACAGATCGGGCCTGAGTCGGTCGGTCTGGTCGGGTCGATGACGGCGAGATGGCGCGTGTGCGCGTGAGGATGATGACGACGACGGCAGTGCTTGGGATGGATGGATGCAAGAGTCTTGCTCTTTTGGCGCTCTCGCCCTTGGTCGAGCGGATGCTTGTAGATTGGCATGGGTTGGGTGTGCTGGCGACGCTCTTGGGATCGACGGTGAGGGGGAGACCACGAGGGCCAGACGGCGTCGAGCGTCGAGCGGCGGAGCGTTTGGCAGGAGGGCCACCACCCGTTGCCTCCACATGTCCGACTTCCGAGGCCGCCAGTGGCGCTGCAGCCGACCTCGCAGCTGGCTGTTGCAGCAAACTGCCGGGCCTTGTTGGGGTTGCATCCCCTCGTCGCTCGCCGCTCGCCACTCCTGCAACCCATCACCTGCCTTGCCTTGCCACCGCCTCGCACCCACGCACAAACGCACCGCCGCTCTCCGTCCAGACGGATCCAACCGCACACCGCTCGGACATCACGGCATCCCGCTCGCTCTGATCTTGCAATCAACCCGCCACTCCAGCTCAACCAACGGGCAGCGCAAGAGAGCCAAAACCATCGACCGGCCATGCCGCCCTGGCACGCCGTGCGGGAAGACCTCTCGCTCCTCCACAGCTCCACCACATCCTCGGAGCTGCAATACACGGGCGCGTCCGAACACAGCTCGCTCTTGCACCGCATCTTTTCCCCCGACGCCGACGATGCCGAGTCCATCCCGACAGACGAGCAAGAGGCAAAGGCGATCCAGGCCATTCCGCAGATCGACCTGTCGCTCCGCCTCTCGACCCAGCCACAGTGCTGGATGAACGTCTTTGTCCCCCTCTCGCCGACATCGGAACGCACAGCTTCCTCCTCGGACCCACGCGACGACGCTGAGGATAAGGCATGGTCCGTCGAGGTCTCGGCGCCCAATTCTGACAGGCACAGGCTCCAGGAGTTGCAGGATGGGGTGCGGCAAAGGCACAAAGAGGTGGTAGATGAGATCGAGTCCCAGGGAGGTCTCGGCGTGGGGATATGGACCCTCTGGATGGATGCAAAGGACCTCGCTACAAACACTCTCGCGGCAGACGGCCATCAGACGGAGCCTCAAGCGACAGCGGCCAGCGGTGAGGCAACAGCCACAGCAACGGCCGGCGACAGCGGCGATGGCGACGCACAACAAGACGGTCAAAACGGCATAGAGATGAAGAGGTCCATCTTCTGGTCCCGTAAGTCCATCGAGTACCCTTGCTCTTGCTCTGCTCTGGTCCGCCCCGCCAAGGCGTCACTCACCCACCGCCTCCTCGATCCGCACGTCCTTGCTCCCCTTGCAGACCACCTGATAGCCCCTTCGAAGCGCAAGGATTTCACATCCCTCTGCTCCGAGCTCGACGTCTGGGGCCTCGTCAAGATCGGGTGCGTCGCCTCCCCCTCCCTTGCCCCGAACACTCCGCCCGACGTCGGCGTCGCCGCTGTCCGCACTCGTCCTGACTTCCTCTTCTGCTTGACATCCTCGTGTGCCAACGACCCGAACCAGATACCCGGGCTACCTCATCTTTGAAGGTCCGATAGAGGGTGTCGAGGAGATGGAACGACGCGTAAAGGTGTGCACCTCGCTCGGCCTCAGGTCCCGGATCGATGTTGGGTCGGGTCGGGGTGGCGTCGACAACGCGACTTCTGACGTGTCTTCCAGTCTGTCTGCACACCCATCCACCCACCCACCACGACAGGGCATGCAATGGCACGCTCTAACACTACGATCAACACACACCTTCCTCTTCCCCTCCCCCTCCCCCTCCCTTCCTGGCGCTTCAGATGGGACACGAGGCGAGGTGAGACGGGAAGCGATCCGCACCTCGCCACTCTCGCGCGGCCACGCCGCCAACCACAATGCGGGCAAGGACGCGCAGGAAAAGGTACGGACGGGGTACGAGGAGGTCGAGAGCGTCGGCGAAATCGTACAGAGGTACGTTGTTGCGCCCCCCCTTTTCTTCTTCTTCTTCTTCACCTGGCAGCAAGGCAAGCCTTGAAGGGGGGTTCCGTCGACTTCCTCGCAATCGCACCGGCAAGAAGGAAGGGCTGATTCCTTGGCCGCCTTTCATCCCCTCCGCCCTGTTATCCCTTGGCCCTTTTTGCCGTCTCGTTCGTTTCATCCCTGCCGACTCCCCTCGTACGCATCCAGACTGAGGTGCATCGACATGGACGAGGCTGAAATCGTCCAGAGCCTCGGCATCCGCACGGCCAAGGGATCAGGGCTGGCCTGACACGCGGCCGTCGGACCGGACCGTCGCATGCACGATCGTAAAGCAAACCAGGGCAAACCAGGGCAAATAACGCACCTGGGACGCACGAGGTCGCCAACAAGAGAGGGTGGGGCTGTAGAAGCAGATGCAGCAAAAGGAGCGTGTGTATGTATTACCGCGCCGATGTCGCGGGCCCGTCGATCCTCTCTATCCTCGTCCGCGCCGTCCTCTATCTGTCCGACTTCGTGAACAAGACGCGTCGAGAAGCGCGAGACCCCCGAGGGCGGCAGTCTAAAGGCCCCGATACTCGGTCACGATGGCCGCCATTCGCACCGCTTGACCTGCGTAGCGGGGCGGGGTGGGAGCGTGAGGGCGTGCAGGAGAAGACGGGAGAGTCAGCCAGCCGGTCGTCGTTGCCACAGGGTGTGGAGAGGGAAACGAGATGAGAGCGGAGGACGAGGAAGACGAGGTACACGTACCGTCGGTGAATTCCGTCAGGCATTCGTCGTTCGAGTAGCTGTGTGGAAAAAGAGGACGGACGATGTCGGTGTCTTTGCGTCAGCGGTGAGTGGGCGGGCGGGGCGGGCGAACAACGTCACCGCGTTGGCATCGAGTCGGCCGGATGAAAGGACAATACGCACTCCATGTAGCTGGCAACAGTGCGGGGCGGGGCGAAGAGAGCAGAAAAGGGAGGGTCAGCAAGATGCGTGGCGAGAGAGGAGACCAACCGCCGAACGGACTCACTTGTGGATGCTGTCGACTCCGCCGCCGGGGCAGCCTGGTGTGCGGCAGGACCGAGGGTGAGGGCGATGGCGGGATGTCAGCTGGCGGCTTCAAGAATGAGATTCGGCAGGCGGGCCGAGACAAGGATGCCGGCTTGCTGGCTTGCTGGCTGACTAGCACTACTCACTGTCCTGCCGAGCGGGACAGCCGCTGGTGGCCTGGCTCTGGGGCGGGGTGTCGTCGACCAGGTCGCCCGGCGCGGCGCAGCCTATCCATCCACGATCCGATCGGATCCGATCCGAGCGGACGACGCAGCAAGAGACGGGGCAAGGAAGGAGAAGCTCGTCAGTCGATGCGCTCGCACCTGATCTCACCGTTCCGTTCGGGGCGGCCGACACTCACCTCCTTGGAAAACATGGTAGAGACCGAGCCAGTGTCCGACCTCGTGGGTGGCTGTCTTTCCCATATTGTACCCCAGCTCGTTGCCACCGGGCACCGTCGAGTACTGGAACACGACGCCGTCCTGCTTGAGGGCGTCGCGCGCGTCCCACGGAAACGTGGCGTACCCAAGCAGGTTGTTTGAGAAATTGACGCTGTACAAATTGAGCACCTTTTCATCGCCGCGGTGGTTGGCGTTCTTGAGCTCGTCCTGCTGCGTGCTGCCCGGCGCCACGTTGCGGAACCAGTCAGCATTGTCGACGTAGTTTGTCGCGTTGAGCGCGAATTGGAAGCCGTACTTGGAGTCTGCGGTCCGGGGAGGCGGGAGATGTTGTGATGGTCGTCAGTATTCAGATCAGTCGGTGGCTCCATACTGCAGGGACCACGGGGGGCGGGGCCTGCTGCGCTGCGCTGCACGGCACCTACAGTCAGAGTTGAGCACGTCGACCTGCTGATTGATCTGGGACGAGGTGAGGTTACCCTCCTTGCCATCGTGCACGACGTGGAAGACGACGTCGACGCTCTTTTTGGCGTCGGCGAGGATCTGGGCGTTGGTGAGCGAGCGGCCCTTGTCCTCGCGGCTCTCGCGCAGCTTGGTCAGCCGCTTCTTCTCCTTCTGCACCAGCGCCAGCGTCAGGGTGTCGATCGTCTTGTTCTTGTTCTCGGGCTGCGCGCAGAAACGCGTGCGCGGGATCAGCGCTCCCCGCAGCGAGGACAGGTTCGCCGACGCTGGAGCCTGAGCCTGGGCCGTCGCGTTCGACGCCGTTGACGCGGTCGAGGGGAGCTGGGTGGACGAGGAAGAGGACGTGGTGTTGGCGCTCGCGCTGTGGTTCGAGGCGAGGCTCGACGTCGAGTTGAAGACCGTGGCGGGGAAGTTGGCCGACGAGGGACGCGACGGCGCCTCGTCCGCCTCTGGCTCGGCCTCGTCATCGGCATCTTCGGCGGCATCGTCAGCCAGGTTGGCCAGCGGAGCGGCAGCAGCGGCTGCGGTGGCTGCACCCGCACCTGCCGCTGACCCAGCGACGGCGGCCTTTGGGAGCTTGGTCTCTCCCGCGCCCTTGGCTGTCGGCTGGACGAGGCCGTTCATCCCCTTCTTGCCTTCGCCGGCCTTTTTGACGTCGTCGTGCGACTTGCTCATGCCCTTGGTCGTCGCCTTGGCCTTGCCGTGTTTGTCGTCCTGGCCACGGTCCTCGCCTTTGCTCTTGCCCTTGGCCGTCGTGGCGGCGGTGCTCGACCTGTCCTTTCCTTTTCCTTTTCCGCTCTGCGTGTCCGTATCCGTGTCCATGCCCCTGTGCCTGCTCTTTCCCTTTGTCAACTTCTTCTCGCCTGCGTCCTTGCTCTTGGCGCCGCCCTTCTCGCTCTGGCCCTTGCTCTGGCCCTTCTTGTCCGCCTTTGACTCGCCGGCCTTTTTCTTTTCTTCCCTTGGCGGCTCCGTCTGCAGCTTGATGGGTCCGCCGCTGCCGTGCGAGATCATCATCATCAGCTGCTGACGCTGCTGATCCTCGCTGGGAGCAGCCGTAGAGGCAGCGGCCTGGCTCGCAGCGCGAGAAGGGTCCGAGGCGGGGATGGTCTCGGTGCCGGGAGCATTTCCGCTGCGGGACGCGAGGTCGCTCTGGGGCTGGGCGTGGTCAGAGATGGGCCGGGCGACGGTGCTGTGATGGGCGACGAGCACCGAGAGCGTCACGAGGGTGGCAAACGAGCGCGAGAGCTGCATCCTTGCGAGCGTCTATGTGTGGATATGGGAGGGTGGTGCGATCTGTTGGGGAAGTGGGAAGGGGTTGTGAGGGGCGACGTGTAAGCACAGCTCGATGGGAGGGGTATCAGATGGGTCAGTCTATGAGTGGGCAGGGCGAGTCGCTGGGGCCACGGTTTGGAGTCGATGCTTGACGATACGGAGGGTGTTGACGAAGCGACGGCCAAGCTCCGGGCTGGCTATCGAGCTTGGAGGGAGGTGTCCTGGGTGTTGTTGAGCGTCCTGCTCGGTGGGATCGCGTCGAGAGCCTGCTCCTCGATGTGGTACGTGTTCGGGGTCTAGCGCCTGTCTCGAAACAAGAGGGATCCTGCTCTGCTGCTTGAGCCTGTTGCGTCGAGCCTGTCGAAGCGCTGCGAGAAAAGTCAAGGCGTAAAAGGCGATGGAGAAAGCTCGGACCTGCGAGCAAGGATTGGCGGGCGGCGGTGGAGTGAAGCAGGCTGGCCGAGGAGAGAAGTGGCAACAAGGGGGCTTTGACCGGCAAAGCTGGCGAAGTGGAAGGCAGGCAGAGCAAGGTTGTCGGAGCGGTGAGAGGACGAGCAGGGTGGGGTTAGAGAGAGAGAAGGTCTCAGGGCGGAGGATGGCCGGTCTCAGTGGTTTATGTATCTGCCTGGCCTGCGGCGGCGCGAGGCCTGGGGGTTTCATCAAGGAGGGCATGGGAGAGCAAGATGTTCTAGACGACATTGGACGGTCGATGAGATGAGACGAGATGAGATGTGCAGCTGCTTGTGCCTGCGGGGAAGGGAGAGGGGGAGCTCGTCTAGATCAAGGGGCTGTAGAAAGTGGATCAAGGATCGGGCGCCGAGGGGAGAAGCTGGGCAATGATGGGTGACAGGACAAAGGAGGCGAGATGAGAGACAGGGGAGGCCGTGGTGGAAGTTGAGACCAGGCTAGTGCGTGTACCGGTGCCTAGAGCGCGGGGGCAACGATGAGGGTGAGCATGTCGTCGATTGTGTGTGCCACTGTTGGACTCTGACTGTGAAGGGACAAGGGGCGAGAGCAGACGGGGACTGATGGGGCGGGCTGCGCTGCGATTTCGAGCCACGCATCACGGAGGGATGGAGGCGAGAGGCGAGGGGGAAGATGCCAACGACACTTGAGCCAGCGCGCGGTACGTGACATGTCAAGCCCAGGCTGGCGGGGCGGCCTGCCCGATGATCTGGCCGATGCGAGGTTGGAGCCTGGTAAAGATGTCCCGATGAAAGGGTCATCGGGGTTGAGGCGACGACGGCGGACCGGACCGGTGCCTCCGGATTGGGCGCGAGTGGAGGGCGAAGCGGTGCGGCGGTTGCGGTGCGGTGCGGTGTTGGCCCGCGCCCTCTGTGTTCCCCCCACCTCGAGCGACGCCAGGAGTGGCCAGCCCGAATGCTGGCTTCCTTGGCCCTTGACCACCTTGCTCAGGCTTCCGGTCCGGTCCAGCAGGTCATCGCCCCCGACTGCTACTCGTTCCTTCCTGCCCTCACACCACCAACCAACCAACCTAGACAGCCTTGGCGCCATCAACCTCTTACCCCTGACAAGGTGAGCATCCCAGGCCGACCCATCATAAAGCCTTGCCCGCCCTCGTCTCTCGCCCCCGCCCACGGCTGAGCACCGCCTTCCCCCCCGTCTGCCTACTCTCGACCCCTTCTACACCATCCTCGTCGCCCACACCTCGGCCCGTCGTCATGGCACCCACTGCTCTATCCACGCCCACCCCAGCCCAGCCTTCCACCTCCGCCATCCCCGCAAAGGCCAACAACACCATGACGACCAACCTCAGCGCCGTCCTCCACGGCCCAAAGGACCTCCGCGTCGTAAGTCGTCGCCGCTGCCCTCAAAACCCCGAGTCCATTCTTCGTCCCCCATCTCACCTTCCCAATCATCGCACCCCTTGCCCACCAGGTCTCGCGCCCCATCGAGGCCCCCGCACCCACCGAGGTCCAGATCCGCGTGCGCTGCACCGGCCTCTGCGGCTCCGACCTCCACTACTACATCCACGGCCGCAACGGCGACTTTGCCCTCCAGCACCCAATGTGCCTCGGCCACGAGTCCGGCGGCGAGATTGTCGCCCTCGGCGCAGACGTCGCCGCCTCCCAGGCCCTCTCCATCGGCGACCGCGTCGCCATCGAGGCAGGCAGGATGTGCGGCGCCTGCCAAAAGTGCAAGGAGGGCAGGTACAACCTCTGCAAAAACATGCGCTTCGCCAGCAGCGCAAAGACCTTCCCCCATCTCGACGGCACCCTCCAGAGGTTCATGAACTGGCCCGCCGCCCTCGTCCACAGGTGAGTCGTCGTCGGCCGTGCCGCAAGCACGGGATCCGGAGCAAAGGCCGGGTGTATCCTCATGCTGACCTTTGCCGCCCACCAACTGGCCTCTGTCTACCCCCCGTGCGCACCCGCAGGCTTCCGGAAAACGTGTCGTACACCTCGGCAGCGCTCTGTGAGCCGCTGTCGGTCGTGCTCCAGGGCATTCGACGGTCCAACCTGCAGGCGGGCCAGTCGGTCCTCGTCCTCGGTGCAGGCGCCGTCGGCCTGCTCGCCTGCGCAGCCGCAAAGGCCTCGGGAGCGTCCTACGTCGCCGCCGCCGACATCGACGAGGGCCGCCTCGCCTTTGCGCGCGCCAACGGTTGGGTCGACGGCACCTTCCT